CGGGCGCCGTGGGGGAGTGAAGTTCGCAAACTTCCGGGGCGCGGGGGCGGCGGCCGGCCCGCGTGGGGGCCCCTCCGACGCTCCGGGTCCGGCGCCTCGGGAGGGCGCCCGCGGAGCCTCCCCGGCCCTCCGCGAGGGCGAGCTCGGGGGTGGTCGGAGGATCCCGGACGCCGGCTGCGCGGTAACTTTCCGTCCTCTTCCCAGACTTCGGCCCGGCGGACCGGGCAGGGGCTGCCCAGACTCGGGAAAGACTCGGTCGGACTAAACGGCGCCCCGAGTTTGCCCGTCTTCTCTGTTTTCGTGTTAGGGAGCACAGGGAAAGCTGCAGGGCGAGTGTTGGGGCGACTCTCTTGAGTTGGTGTGTAGTGTGTGCAGTGAGCGGGCCGAGAGGAAGCGAGAGCGCCCGAGTTTGCAAAGAGCTGCTTTGTGTTTGGTATTTTGAGAAAATGGCCGAATGCCTATTTCAGTTAGGAATGCCGCCGCCGAGGCAGGCGCTGGTGGCAGCAGCACATAGGAATTCTTGCAACACGTTGGGCTTTCGAGCTGTGCTTGGACGGTCTTCCTGACAAATGTTAAAATCCCTTTAGGGGGTGGTAGTTAGGGTTTGGGGGGGGGATTAGAAAAGTCGATGTTGGGGTGAATTACCGAGGAGTTTAGGTTTTTAAGCCCTAGCACAGCTTTCGCTCTCTCTCTTCTGTGATGGCATTTGATTCCAACTTTTGTTGGTACATACAACTAAACCGGTTTGTTTATACACTTGGGTGAAACGGATTACTTTTTCTATTTTCGGGTTAACAATGTTTGTAGTACTTGTCACGTATTTTGCTTTTTCTAATTTGCAAGAGAACACTAGTTTGAGAATAGCACCTTTTAGACTGCAAAGTAACATGGTTAAGACCATTTAAAAAGCCCAACTTGTTTTCCAGAAGGTGATCTTGTAATGGCTTCTACTAGGCAAGTAGGCCAAGTCAAGCACAATACAAGAAAATTGCTGATTGTGGAGTTGAACTGTACGATTATTTTATTAGAGGATTTGGAAACATTTTCATTTGTGAAGTTTCGAATGAACCAAACTTCCTTTTTCACAGGAAAAGGGCCCATAATTTTCTTTTCTTTTAAACCCTTGCAGTCCTGGAAAAATTAGGGGATACTAAGTGGTACTTTTTCACAGTAGTTTATTCTTTTGGAGTTAGTTGAGTTCATATGAAATTCAAATAAGTTGACCAGTTATTACAGGCTTCTAGTTTCCATACGTGTTTGTGTACTTAATAGATGCACTGAATGGCTTGTGAGTTTCTTGGCTTTCCGATTCTCAGACCATTGAACTGTTGAAGGAGATGATTGGGAGGACAAAAATTTTACTACTCATGTATTGGATTCTTAAAATAATTTTAGTTAACATTCAAAATGAAGGTTGCTTTTTTTTTCACCGGAAAAATTGAAAGTGCTTGAGGGATGGCACGCCATTAGTAGACCTAGTTGATGAATGAGTTATGTCAAACGGTTGGTAGAATTTTTTTCTAGGGGTTGTAGAAGTTTTTTTGGTGACTGCAGTAGAGAATTGGGAATTAACAAAAATATTTTAAAGGTTTGTTTTTAGTAAATGAAGCTCATTTAGTGTTAAAGCTTATATTGGACATTTAAAAAAAATTTGAAGAACTACAGTAATGCTTTTGTTTTAGGCGAGTAAAAGTTGTGTTTAAAATCGTGCTCTCCTGTTTTTTTTTTTTCTTTTAAATTCAGAATACAGTTATGGCCACCCAGGTAATGGGGCAGTCTTCTGGAGGAGGAGGGCTGTTCACTGGCAGTAGCAACATTGGCATGGCCTTGCCCAACGACATGTATGACTTGCATGACCTCTCCAAAGCTGAACTGGCTGCACCTCAGCTTATCATGCTGGCAAATGTGGCCTTAACTGGAGAAGTAAATGGCAGCTGCTGTGATTACCTCGTTGGTGAAGAAAGACAGATGGCAGAATTGATGCCTGTTGGAGATAACAATTTTTCAGATAGTGATGGAGAAGGACTTGAGGAGTCTCCTGAAATAAAAGGTGAACCTACTGGCCTGGAAAACGTGGAACTGAGAAGTTTGGAACTTAGTGTTGTAGAACCACAGCCTGTATTTGAGACATCAGCTACCCCAGAAATTTACAGCTCAAATAAAGATCTTCCTCCCGAAACACCTGGAGCAGAGGACAAAGGCAAGACCTTGAAGACAAAACCCTTTCGCTGTAAGCCATGCCAATACGAAGCTGAATCTGAAGAACAGTTTGTGCATCACATCAGAGTTCACAGTGCCAAGAAATTTTTTGTGGAAGAAAGTGCAGAGAAGCAAGCAAAGGCCAGGGAATCTGGCTCTTCCACTGCAGAAGAGGGAGATTTCTCCAAGGGCCCCATTCGTTGTGATCGCTGTGGCTACAATACCAATCGATATGATCACTATACTGCACACCTGAAACACCACACCAGAGCTGGGGATAATGAGCGAGTCTACAAGTGCATCATTTGCACATACACAACAGTAAGCGAGTATCACTGGAGGAAACACTTGAGAAACCATTTTCCAAGGAAAGTATACACATGCGGAAAATGCAACTATTTTTCAGACAGAAAAAACAATTATGTTCAGCATGTTCGAACTCATACAGGTAAGAGAAGCTTTCTAGTCCCTAAGTTCCACTCTCACTTCTGATTGAGGGGTTAGTTATGTAGTGCTTGAGAAAAGATACTCAGGGTTCAAATCCAGGTTCTGTTATTTGCAATCTTTGTGACTTTGGACAAGCTATTTAACCTCTTCGTGCTCTGTTTTCTTCGTGGGGTAACAATGTATAGGATTGGAGGAGTAAGTGAAGTGTGTGTAACATATGTAAAGCACTGAGTGTTATTTGGAAGAATAGCCAAGAGAAATCTTACCAATGCTCTTCCTAAAGTGTATATTTTAAAAACTTGTTTTGGACCATTTTGCTAAATTAGACTGTTTTTATGTTTGTAGATGTATTTAGGTGCAGTGAACACTTCTAAGATACGGTATAGTTTTTGAAAGTAATTGAGGGCTTAGACAAAAAGGAAAACCTAGTGATTAACCTTGCATAACTCCATTTAGCAAAAACCTCAAACTTTAAAACATTTGGTTAGTGGCATTTGAGTTCCTAAATGGAACAACTTGTCTTTGTCCTCAAAACATAGAAATGTGAGAAGTGAGTTTTTAAAAGATGGGTGGAATTACCACCAATTGAAACCATTTTCCTAAGAAAGCAAACACACGTGGAAAATGGAATTGTTTTTCAGACAAACAGTTATGTTTGCATGTTTGATTGCATATAGGTAAGAAAGAAATTATCTAGTCCACAGTGCAACTCTTATCAAAAAGTAGAAACTTTTTCAAACATCTCAGGAGTAAAGAGGATAACATCCCCTACACTCAACAGTTATAAATATTGTGTCACATTTGGCATGTTTTAATTAACTTTTTATTTTTTATTTTTTTTAAAAAGAGACTACCAGTAAGGGGATCTTAACCCTTGACTTGGTATTGTTAGGACCGGCTATCCCTATATAGGGATCCGAACCTGTGGCCTTGGTGTTATCAGCACCACATTCTCCCAAGTGAGCCACTGGCCATCCCTCAGTTAACTTTTTAAAAATAACAGCTTAGGGCCGGCTGGTGGGGGAGAGTCTGGTTCTGATAACACCAAGGCCACGGTTTGGATCCTATATAGGGATGGCTGGTTAGCTCACTTGGGAGAACATGGTGCTGACAACACCAGGTCAAGGGTTAAGATCCCCTTACCGGTCATCTTAAAACAACAACAACAACAAAAAACAGCTTAATATATTCTTCACTGTCATACAATTTATGTACTTAAACTGTACAATTCATCGTATTCACAGAATTGCACAGCGATAATCGTAATCAATTTTAGGACATTGTTGTCACTCCAAAATATGAAACATAGCAGTTACTTCCCATTTCTCCCCAACACCCCTTTATACTCACTTTTAAATTGTCTTTCAAATATTTGTCTCATCTTTCAAAGAAATGTTTGTAACTATTGGTAGTTGATTTTACATTTCTGTTATATTTTCTTGGGAAGAATTGGTACATTTGATGCCTGATGACTGGTCTGAAGGAAATGAATAGGCAGTAATCTAGAACTGTACTCATCAGTCACTGTACTGATCACAAGTGAAAAGGGGCTAGGGGATGCTGTTTGCATCAGATTGCATTTGACATTGCATTTTTAAAACCACAGGTAAAGGGCCGGCCCGGTGGCGCACTGGATAGTGCGCCACTTGGGAAGCGCGGCGGCGCTCCCGCCCGAGGGTTCGGATCCCACATACGGACCGGACCGGTTCCCGCTCACTGGCTGAGCGAGGCGCGGGAGCAGCGCCGAGGGTTGCGATCCCGTTGCCGGTCCCCGGTCCGGTACGGGGGCAACACTGAGGGTTGCGATCCGTTGCCGGACACGGAAAAAGACAAAAGACAAAAAAAAAAAAAAAAAAACCACAGGTAAAGGGGATGCTGGGGGAAGGGGAATTGATAATGCTATGCTTAAGTGGTAGACTTCAGTAAAACTTGTCCGGTACGGGGGCAACACTGAGGGTTGCGATCCGTTGCCGGACACGGAAAAAGACAAAAGACAAAAAAAAAAAAAAAAAAAAACCACAGGTAAAGTGGATGCTGTGGGAAGGGGAATTGATAATGCTTTGCTTAAGTGGTAGACTTCAGTAAAACTTGCAGACTTCCATTTCAGAAAGACCTCAGCCGCGTGATTTCTAAGCCCCAACAGATGGCTCCTGTGTTGGAAGCTTTAAAATCTAGTTGAGTAAAAGAAATTGTAGTTCCTTTGGAATTTGTTTAATTTGTGATTGTCTCCATGCTTTGAAACCATTTGTTTTCAAAAGTACAAACATTACAAAAATACTAGGAAACAAAAATTACGTGGGAATCCTACCCCGTTGATATGCTACAGTGTAGGCATGTTGAACATGCAAACTAGACCAACCTCACTTATATTCAAAGAAATCCCAGATACCATATACACATGCTCCTCAACTTAGCATGATTATGTCCTGATAACGCTGATAAATCCAGTGTAAGTCAAAAATGCTTTTAATATACTTAACCTACTGACCATAACAGCTTAGTCTAGCCTGCCTTAAACATATTCAGAGAACTTACATTAGCTTACAGTTGGGCAAAATCATCTAACACAAGCCTATTTTATACTAAGGTGTTGAATATCTCATAATTTATTGAACACTATACTGAAAGTGAAAAACAGAATGGTCAGATGGGTACTTGAAGTAGGGTTTCTACAGAATGTGTATTGCTTTTGCACCATTGTAAAGTCGAAAAATTTTAAGTCCAGCCATCATTAGTTTGGGACTGTCGGTATATTTCAACCTAAGTACTGCATATTCATTTAACAGTTTTTCTAAAACTTTAGGACCTAATTTAGAATTGCCAGTAACGTTCGTAACCGGGCAGAAACAGTTCTCTTCTGGGCCGGCCCGTGGCTCACTCGGGAGAGTGCAGTGCTGATAACACCAAGGCCACGGGTTCGGATCCCATATAGGGATGGCCGGTTTGCTCACTGGGTGAGCGTGGTGCTGACAACACCAAGTCAAGGGTTAAGATCCCCTTACTGGTCATCTTTAAAAAAAAAAAAAAAAAGAATTGCCAGTAACATAGAGCATTCAGCTAGTCGCTGTGACACATGGTAAAGTGCATAACTTTTATGTGTATACCTTGATGAATTTTTTTTTTTTTTTTTTTTTTTTTTTTTTTTTAAAGGGATCCGAACCCGGGGCCTTGGTGTTATCAGCACCGCACTCTCCCGAGTGAGCCACGGGCCGGCCCAACCTTGATGAATTTTTAAAAATATATGTACTCATAACCACCATACTGGTCAACATAAAGAATATTAGCAGCACCTCAGTGTCTTTATCTTATTAAATTTTGGGTTTTTGGTCAATTGTATTTTGATAACAGAACTACTGGGTTACTGAATGGTTTAACAATTTTCCCAAAAAGCTAAAAATGTTTTCAACAATAAATGTAAATTTGTTGATTTAAGAACATTTGTAGAAGGAAAAAAATTGAAAATAGAATAGGGGAGACTTCACTGTTAGTGTGTATTTCTATTTTTCTTTCTTTCTTTTTTTTTTTAAAGGAACTCTACTTTCTTGCCATATTTATTTATTTATTTTTGGCTGGTTGGTGGGATAGAACCCTGGACTTTGATGTTATCAGCCATCACACTCTAACCAACAGAGTTAACTGGTCAGCCATTTTTTTTTAAAAGATGACCAGTAAGGGGATCTTAACTTGACTTGGTGTTATCAGCACCACACTCTTCCAAGTGAGCCAACGGCCACCCCACCCTTTTTTTTTAAGCCCTTTTTTTATTTTTTAGAATAGTTTCTTATGTAATTATTCTAGATTTCCAATTTTTTTTTTTTAAAGATGACCAGTAGTAAGGGGATCTCAACCCTTGGCTTGGTGTTGTCAGCACCACGCTCAGCCAGTGAGCAAACTGGCCATCCCTATATAGGATCCAAACCCGTGGCCTCGGTGTTATCAGCACCACACTCTACTAAGTGAGCCACGGGCCGGCCCTGTCTTAATGCTTTTAAAAGATTTTTTTACCCCCTGGTATTACCTTCATTGTGATTAAAAAAAAATGATGATGTATAAATTGAAGGATAAAATTTTATTATGTAAATTCTGAGAGTATCTCTGGTGTTAAATACACAGATCAGAACTTTATATTTATGGAAGATAGATTCATCTAGTGCTGAAGTGTAGGGATTAGAAATGACAGCAGGCATCACTTGTACCATTAGGTAGCCTAGTTTTCAGATTCACTTAATGGGTTTGTTCTGTTCCTTATTGAGTGCCCAGTGTCAGGCGCTGTTTTCTATACTGTGCTGATCTACAGAATAATCCATTGAGGAAGACAGCTTTTGTGATAATAGTCCATGTTTACAGAAAGGAAAACTTAAGATTTGAAGTGATGTGCCAGATGCCACATAATCATCATGGTGGTGGTAGGAGAGGGGAACCGGGGATTACATTGGTTCCAATTGGCCTCTTTAATCAGAAGACTTTTAATTTTGTGGTTTTGATATTTAACCAGCTCACAAATTCTACTTTGAAAGATAACCTTTTTGCCTGTGTTTGTAATTGAAAAGTGAGTGCCTAACTAACCTTTCTAAAAGAGTAGTTATGCCTGTTTTTTGGCATCATACAGATAAATCAATCTATTCTGCTGTAAGGAATTCAAAAGTAAATTATCCTTAATTGAACCTTCATGTTAATCTGTAATGGTATTTAATTTTTCTTCCACTAACATTTTTTATAACTTGATATACAGTTTATATACCTACAATTCATTGCGGATTGGCCTGTTCTGGAAATTTCATATAAATTGAATTATATAATATGTGGTCCTCTATGCCTGTCTACTTTCACTTAGGATAATCTTTTCAAAGTTCATCCATGTTGTCATGTACAGTACTTCTTTTATTGCCAAATAATGTTCTCTTGTGTGGATACATAACATTTTCTTTATCCATGCACCAGTTGATAGATGTTTGGGCCATTTCCACCTTTGTGCTATTGCTAATAAAGCTGCTATAAACATTCTTTTTTTTTTTTTAAAGATGACCCATATGGGGATCTTAACCCTTGACTTGGTGTTGTCAGCACCACACTCTCCCAAGTGAGCCACAGGCTGGCCCTTATAAACATTCATGTATAAGTTTTTGTGTGGACATGTATTTGTTTCTCTTGGATATATACTTAGGAGTGGAATTGTATGGTAACTATTTTTATTGATGTTTAACCTTTTGGATAACTGCCAAGCTGTTTTCCAAATTGGCTGTGCCATTTTACAGTCCCACCAGCAGTATGAGAGTTCCATTTTCTCCACATCCTCACCCTCACCAATTCTGTTACATCTGTCTTTCTTTTTTTTCTTTAAAAGATGACCGGTAAGGGATTTTAACCCTTGACTTGGTGTTGTCAGCACCACGCTGTCTCCCAAGTGAGCTAACAGGCCATCCCTATATAGGGATCCGAACCTGTGGCCTTGGTGTTATCAGCACCACCCTGAGTGAGCCACAGGCCAGCCCTCATCTATCTTTCTGATTACAGCTCTCCCAGTGGGTATGAAGTCTTCATCCCATTGTGATTTTGATTTACATTTCCCTCATGGCTAATGGTGAGCATCTTTTCATGTGCTTGTTGACATTTGTATAACTTCTTTACAGAAGTACACCAACATTTTTTAACTATCTTAATTTTTCCAGGTCACAAAATAGGCATTCTGTTGCTACCAGCTTTTTACAGCTAATCTGTAGCTATCAGCTAATTACAGTGGTGTATTTACTAGGAACACCTTTCCCACTCATTACTACTCTTTTTTTTTTTTTTTAACCATTTTCTTCTTTTCTTTCTTTTTTTTTTTTTTTAAGGATCCGGACCCATGGCCTTGGTGTCATCAGCACTGCACTTTTCCTGAGTGAGCCATGGGCCTGCCCTCTTTTATTATTTTTGACTTTCTTCTTTTCATGTCATCTTTTCCTTGCCCCATTTTATTAGACACTTTTGTTGTTGTATCTTGTTAGAGACAAAATTAATAGCTTACATTTATTGAAGGGTTGCTGTGTGCCAGTCACAGTGTTAAATGCTCTGCATGTATTATCTTATTTAAATTCTCACAATTATAGGAAATAAAGGCACTGTTACTTTTATAAATGAGAAAACTGGGTACTTAAGTGATATTATTATCTCGTGGCCAAAGAGTGTATGAAAACAAATTTTCCAGCTTTTCTTTTTAACCTGTTTTGTGGTTGACAGCCCATATCCAAAGAGAATATGCACGTCCATCCTTTTAAATTCCTCATTATTATTTTTATTATTACTGTTTTTTTTTGCAGCTAGCCAGTAAGGGTATCCAAATTAAATTCTTCAGTGCTGAATCACTGGCCTCTCATGTTCAGTTGCTTCCAGTCCGTATGGCTTTATAATTTAACACTGATGAACTATTTTATAAATTTTATATCTACCACTTGAATTTTTAGCTTAATGCAACAACAGCCCCACTCAAATGTTGTTTAAGCTAACAATTTCAAATAGTAGGATTAAAAAAAATTTACAAGGATCAGAAAAAATTAACCCAAGCAATAGCATCAGAAAATTGTGGTAGATTTTTAAAAGTGTAATTAAGAAAACAAAACAAAACAAAACAAAACCTTGAAACCTTATTAAGATATAGTTTTTCGGGGCCGGCCCGGTGGCGCACTGCTACAGTGCGCCGCTTGGGAGCACGGAGGCATTCGCGCCGAGGGTTCGGATCCCACATACAGACCGGCAGCTCACTGGCTGAGCGAGGTGCGGTGCGGCGCCGAGGGTTGCTATCCCGTTGCCGGTCCCGGTCCGGTATGGGCGTGACACTGAGGGTTGCGATCCGTTGCTGGACACGAAAAAAGACAAAAAGAAAAAAAAAAAAAAGATATAGTTTTTCATTTCTTTTTTCACAGGACATTGAGCAGAGTTTCTCATTTTTAATACTTAGTGTAATAACATGTGGCATCACTGAAAGTTAAAAAGGTCAGTGAGGAATCAGAAAGCCATTATTTTTTTTTGTCACCATCAAAGTTATGTAAATTCAAAAGTAAATAATTTACATTTCTAATACATGATAAGTTGACTTTTACCAGGAATAGGAAGAAAAAAATCCTTGTTAAAAAGTGCTCGATACTGAATATTGTTAAATTGTTACTGAGAATTGTATTTGGCTTATTTTGTTACATTTAAATATTATTTATTACAATTTTGCAGGAGAACGCCCATATAAATGTGAACTTTGTCCTTACTCAAGTTCTCAGAAGACTCATCTAACTAGACATATGCGTACTCACTCAGGTTGGTAAGAAATGGGGACTTTACTACCATTTTCAGTAAACAACCATTACAAGAAAGTTCTTTTACACCTGGAACTGAGTATTTATGATTTATTTTTAATATAATTTGGAAATGAGAATTTAAAAATCAGGGTTCCATTAATGTGAAGCTGTATTTAAATGAGGATACTTGACATGGAATCCATAGGTTGAACTCCTGAAGCTGAATGTAAATTTGTATGTGTTCTTTTTCTGGGAGGAGTGTTGTTACTTTTCATCAAATCTTGAAAGAGTTACATGACTCCAATAAAAGTTAGACCAAGCCTGGTTCATCCTTTCTGAACAACCCCTGCCGTCTCACATTCCCCCCAACAGTATGACACTTAGTTTCATAGTTGTGTGGCTGCTTCATTTCAGGGATTCCTTCTTAGCTTCTCAAGTGCCGAAATTTGGGTTTTTTCTGATTTGAGAATCGATAGGACTTTTTTTTAAAAAAAAGATGACCGGTAAGGGGATCTTAACCCTTGACTTGGTGTTGTCAGCACCACGCTCACCCAGTGAGCTAACCGGCCATCCCTATATGGGATCCGAACCCATGGCCTTGGTGTTATCAGCACCACACTCTCCCGAGTGAGCCACGGGCCGGCCCCGATTGATAGGACTTTTTGAGGACTGATTTGCAAAAGCTATACTTAAAAAAGAGAATGGTGGGGCTGGCCAGGCGGCGCTCCCGCCTAGGGTTCGGATCCCATGTGGAGACCAGTCCGCTCACTGGTTGAGCGCGGTGCGGGCGCAACACCGAGGGTGGCGATCTTGTTGCCGGTCCCCGGTGTGGGCGCGACACCGAGGGTTGCAATCCCGTTACCGGTCAGTGAAAAAGACAAAAAGGAAAAAAAAAAGAGAATGGTGGATAATCTAGAATTTTATTTATTTTTTCCAGTTTTAATATTTAATTTTTTTTTAAACTTATTTTTTGAATTGGAACTTAATTGATTATACAGATTTATGGGGTGCAAAGTTGACTATCAGTATTTGTGTACAGTATGTGATGATCAAATCAATATTATTAGCATGTTCATCATTACAAATAATAATTATTCTTTGTGTCCCTTACCCAATTACTCCCTAACTCCCCTCCCCCCTGCCAGCTCTAGGAACTATATGTCTGTTGTCTCCTAACTTCTGAAAGTTCATTGTTTTGTTGTGGTCTTTCTTTCCTTGCTCCCACTTATGAGTGAGAACATGCGGTATTTCTCTTTCTGTGCTTGGCTTATTTCACTTACCGTAGTTTTCTCCAAGCTCATTCATGTTGCTGCAAATGGCAGAATTTCATTCTTTTTTATGGCTGAGTAGTATTCCATTGTGTATATATACAGGATACCAATTTATTAACCTATAATAAAGTGTAGGACTATTACAAGTGGGAGAGATTCATCTGTTCCAGTGCCTGAACTAAAGTGACTATGTTAAAAAGTAAATGTTAGGGGCCGGCCCGTGGCTCACTCGGGAGAGTGCGGTGCTGATAACACCAAGGCCCCGGGTTCGGATCCCATATAGGGATGGCCGGTTCGCTCACTGGCTGAGTGTGGTGCTGACAACACCAAGTCAAGGGTTAAGATCCCCTTACCGGTCATCTTTAAAAAAAAAAAAGAAAAAGTAAATGTTAGCACTGGTGGTTTTAATGGGTAATTATTTCTTTTTGGCTGTGACTGACCCTGGGTGACCTATCTCTTCTGATTAATATACTGTCCTTCCAGATTTAGAATGTATATCCCTGTAGGGAAAGTACGCTAAAATCTTGATGTTTATAAAAGTCTATGTAAAAATCAACAACAAAAAGCTCCCCAAATGCCCCCAAAACCAAAAGTCTATGTAGACCCATTTTCCTTAAGTTAATTATTACCTCAGATCTGTGCAGTCTATTTGGGTAGCCATTAGCCACATGTAGCTATTGAGTTTTTGAGATGTGGGTAGTTTGAATTGAGTTTTTTTTCCCTATAGTTAACAATGTTGTGTGAATTGAAGTTTATAAAATGCATACTATATTTAAACAGTATGAAGGAAAGAATATAAAGCATCTTTTTTATATTGATTACATGTTGAAATTATTAGACATATTGGGTTAAACAAGTAAAAATTTTAACTTTTTTTAACTTTTGTAGTGTGACTTAAAAAATTTAAAATTACATGTGATTGTGATTTGCATTATATTTCTGTTGGACATTGCTGCCTTAAGTTGGTAATAAGAGTGAGGCTTGATTATATTTCAGACTCTTAATTTATTTGGGCAGCTGTGAAGGTGTACAATAGTATGCTTGCTAGCCTTTCTTGACCCTACATGTTTGTCAAGTTAATGTACTTTGAGTGCTCCTTCTAAATCTCCTAAGTTACTGAGTTGTAGCTTAACCAGAAAGCTGGTTTTATTACTTTTGGATGCTTCCTGGTTTCATTCTCCAGGGGTAACTTGGATATAATCTCAGTCTTTTTCAAGTGTAGTAATCATGTTCTGTTGATAGCTGTACTCTAGCACTTTAATAAAACATTTAAGAGCTTGACATGAGCTAACTCATTTTAGTCTTAATAACTGTCCTGTGTTGTATAAGTCTGTTGTACCATTTTTACAGATGGAGAAGCCAAGGCATTGAAGAAATATGGCCATTTTTCCTATAGAATGTCCCCCCTTCTGGATGTGTCTACTTTTTGTTCTTGTGGTGTCATTTATGTCATTTAGCTTTTCTTCTGTCCCTTGTATTAGTCATAAACTGGAAATTAAATCTAAATGCTTGATATCTACCTCGTGCTTTTTCTCATTTGAAGTCACATCTGGTTGACCCATTATTAATGATGATGGGTCAGTGAATTAGAGTGATGATACACTTGTATCCTTTTATTGAATTGGTAATACTTTGTTTTGTCACAGTGTAAATGTGTATCTATGGTGTTTTACACCAGTTGATAATCTTTGCCTTGAATAATTTTATTTGGGTTCACTAAATGTTGTCTTGAATTTTGCTCACTATATTTTAAAGATGGTTTTTGGTAGTTGCTGTTACATTATATCAAGTATTTTAAAAGTATCTGAATAAGTAGTAGTAGCTACTATTTATTGTATGTATGCTGGGTATTGAAAAATTGGAATTTGTTACTATCTCTGATCTTAATACTGCGAAGATACTGAATCCCAGTTTATAGTTTAGGACAGGCTCAGGCGGCATAAGTACTTAAAGGTTAATAGTCATTTCTCAAAATTAGGAGAGCTAGGATTTGACTTCAGACTCTTCCACCTCCCACTTATATCAACAATGTTATTATATCAGATAACATTATGGTTCAGAAAGTGGCTCAAATACAGAAGCTATAGCACAATGAAATTGTAACTACACTGTTTGGAGAGCAGAGCCATTGTTTTTTATTGGATGCTAACAGTTTGTGAGTCACAAACAGGAAATAAAAATGGTTAGTGTTTTGTTTTTTTTTTAAAGATGACCGGTAAGGGGATCTTAACCTTTAACTTGGTGTTGTCAGCACCATGCTCACCCAGTGAGCGAACTGGCCATCCCTATATAGGATCCGAACCCATGGCCTTGGTGTTATCAGCACTGCACTCTCCCAAGTGAGCCACGGGCCAGTCCTGTTAGTGTGTTTTGGATATGAGTACTGAATTATTTTCAGCATATCTTACGTATTAGTACTTTTAATAGAAGTTGCTGATAACACTTGCAATAAAGTGAGGCTAAGTTAGGTCAAATTGGGTAGTCTTTCAGACTGGATTGCATGGAGTGACTGACTACCTTGGGTGTTTTTATGGTCTGCATCTGATCTTTACAGGTCACCTTGGGCATTTTGATTCCTTATTTTTTTATTTTTTTTATTTTTTTGCGGCTGGCCCGTGTGAGGATCCGAACCCATGACCTTGGTGTTAATAAGGCTACACTCTAACCAGCTGAGCTAACCGGCCAGCCGGCCCTGTTGTTCATGTTGAATGTATTTTAGGGAAGAGAAGTGTGTGCTCAGTCTGTCTTCTTTCTGGAAGAGACCAGGTTGTGTAATACATTTTAGACAAAGTGACAGACTGGGCAAAACTACATCAGTCATTTATTTGGAGCACTTCTCTCTGCAGGGTGGGTCTTCTCAGGCAAAATTAGGGAGGAATCAGATTATTGGCTTGGTAAAATAGAAAATTGTGTACTGGCAAAAATACAGACACATTAACCTAACCTGGTGGTCTTCTCCATTTTATTGGTATTTCTACCTAATGGTATTAGGGTATCCTTTCTTGGGTAGTCCTAGAGAGGCTGGCATTATCCTCAGTTTTCCCTTTATGACCTTCATTGGAGATGCTATCATCCAGTTTTTTATTGGCCAATGTGGTATTTTTTTGTATACATCACACTGGCTATTACCCTCCATCCTGATAATGTGGGATTCATTGTGCATGTTTTTACATTGTATCGGCCATGAATGTTTCTGTTAAAAGGAACTGACAACTTGCCAAGTTCCACCTCCGTGTATTATACTTTTTTTGGGGGGCAAGCAGTGATTTTATTGAGGGGTTTTTTGGGGGAGAGGGCGGGGGCAGTGGCCCAAGAAGTGCTGAGGAGGACAGTGAGATCCAGTGCACTTGTGTGGGCTGGGATCTCCCCAGCCTCACAGTGGCCAAAAAGCTATACGTTTTTAAGATGTAAAAATATTTTATTTAACAATAAGTTTTTCTTTCATCAACGATTTGCTGATTATTATGGAGGGACTATTTTAATAGCTGGGAGAGTCTTTTATGAATTCTGGATTAAGTTTTTTTTTTTTCTTAGAATAAGTTTTTAAACAGTATTTCTATTGAGGTAGAATTTACAAACATGAAAATGCACATGTCTTAAGTATACAGCTCAATTACTTCGTTTTTTTGGGGGGGGCCAGCTGGCTGGTATGGGGAACCAAGTTTTAAACAGAAAATTCTTTTTTTTTTTCTAAAGGATGACCGGTAAGGGGATCTCAACCCTTGGCCTGGTGTTGTCAGCACCACGCTCAGCCAGTGAGCAAACCGGCCATCCCTATATAGGATCCGGACCCGTGGCCTTGGTGTTATCAGCACCGCACTCTACCGAGTGAGCCACAGGCCGGCCCTAAACAGAAAATTCTTAATATCCTCCCCTTCCCTGTCCATTTCTTAAAGGTACCTTGGATATATACCTTGGATGCTTGTACCTTGATTGATGCTTGCTGTGTGGATCCCCTCATTTATTAGGAGTTATAAAATGGTGATATTTTAACGATTATTATTTTTTGGGGGCGCCAGCTGGTACAGGGATTGAATCCTGGCCCTTGGTGTTATCAGCATCATACTCTAACCAACTGAGCTAACCAGCCAGCTCTTAATTATAATACTTTTATTTGCATAAATATTTTCATAAAGAGATAAATTTATCAAAGGTAGAATTTATATAGGAAGGACAGGATAAGTACTTGAATCTTCTCTTATTTATCCATAATAAAAGTTACCAGTTGGTTCTAAAAGTGAGCAATTACAGGTAATGCATATTGAGTGTGTTTTCTCAGATACATGCTAAGTGCTTTACAAGGATTAGATTATTTATAGATCACACCACCTGGAGTATTTCATAGATGAGGAAATTGAGCCCTAGGAAGGTTTTTTAAAAAAAATTTCAGCTGGCCGATACAGGGGTCTGAACCCCTGACTTCAGTTATAAGGCTGTGCTCTAACCAGCTGAGCTAACCAGCCAGCGAGAGGTTTTAATACCTTGCTTGAGGTCTCAGAGTGAGCAAGTTGCAGGGCCCGTATTTTTTCTCCCTCATAAAGTTGTTAGCCATTGTCCCACTTACCTTTCTCCATTCCATGTCTGTATGTGTATTTGTTAAAACAAATGTCTCCATTGAAATTATTCATTGGAGAGGACAGTATAGGGCCAAGTATAGAGTAATGTAGCATGTTATAGAAACCTCCCTATTGGGCCGGCCTGTGGCTCACTCGGGAGAGTGCGGTGCTGATAACACCAAGGCCACGGGTTCGGATCCCATATAGGGATGGCCGGTTTGCTCACTGGGTGAGCATGGTGCTGACAACACCAAGTCAAGGGTTAAGATCCCCTTACCGGTCATCTTTTTTTTTTTTTTTT